CGCTCGCATGACTGACTGGCGTGCGCAAAAGCCGCAATGGCCCAAGCATGTTCAGAGGTTGGATGTACACTATATGTATATATATAGATATGCGTATTATTATAATTATTATCATATATATCTGTGCGTGTATGTATGTATGTATATATGTGTATATATATACATATATATATATATATATATATATATATATATATATATATATATATGTATGTATATATATACACATATATACATACATACATACACGCACAGATATATATGATAATAATTATAATAATACACACACACACACACACACACACACACACACACACACACACACACACACACACATATATATATATATATATATATATATATATATATATATATATATATAGGTATGTGTATTATTATAATTATTATCATATATATCTGTGCGTGTATGTATGTATGTATATATGTGTATATATATATACATATATATATATATATATATATATATATATATATATATATATGTATGTATGTATGTATGTATATATATATATGTATTTATATATATAAATATATATATATACATACATATATACATATATATATATACATACATATATACATATATACATATATATATATACATACATATATACATATATATACACACATATATATATGTATATATGTGTATATATGTATATATATATATATATATATATATATATATATATATTATATATATATATATATTAGCACTACTTTAATTTTTTAAAAATATATACGATGTGTGTTGTGATACCTTAGCCGTATGATTTGTATTTTATAATAAATTCGTCGAAAGCGTTTCTACTTTACACATACCTTGATAGAATAAAATTACATCATTCATATCCTATGTCTTCTTTGTTCACTTTACTTCTTTATTATAACATAACAAAGCTGCAGCATGAAGAAATATGAAATTAAAACCAAGTATAATATACGATATATACCTATAAATAATCCTTGTTAATCATCGCTTGTAAAATCACTCCAGTATGCAAATCGCCGGAATGAGCCAGTATCTAATATTACTTAAGTTTTTTCGCGGTTTACGACCGTATTCTAATACTTCCTTCACCTAGTCTACCATTCTCTATCCCCCCTCCTACCAAGTGACGCCATAGACATTATCGTCCAAAGCTGCGCAAAACACCGAAGTGACGAAACTTGTATGGACCTTGGCTTCGAACAAGGTCATACTCAAATTCGTCTGTCTCGCGCATGACTTCACTTGGAGTATACCTGGGGGTTCGAGGCTCGTCATGAGGTCTGTTGTGGATGAAATGTAGACCCGCGAAGATCTCCCTTCCGTTTCCGCTCGCACGACTTACTGGCGCGCGCAAAAGCCCCAATACCCCATATATGTTAAGTCGTTGGGTGCAATAGTTGTACACCAGAGACTATGTATTTATCGTTATTTAGCTTATATATGTTTGTGTATGTATATGTATATATACATGTATATTTATATACTCATTAGCTATTGTTTTATTTTTATAATAAATTCGTCGAAAGCATTTCTATTTTACTTATGCCTTGGTAGAAAAAAACAATATTATCATTCATATCCCATGTCTTCTTTGCTCATTGTACTTCTTTATTATGATATAGCAAAGCATGAGGAAATATAAAATTGAGACAAAGTAGAATAGTACATATGCCTACAAATAATCGCTGTAAATCGTCGGCTAGTAGTAGTATCATTCCTGTGTACAAATCGATGGAATGAGCCAGCATCTAGAATTACTTTAGTGCTTGGGTAGTTTGTTACAGTTTCCTATTATCTCCTTCCCCCAGCCTACCATTTTCTACCCCCCCCCCCCGTTCTCAGACAATACTAAGTGACGTCATAGGCCTTATCACCCAAGCTCCGAAGTGACGAGACCTTGGCTTCAAACGCCTGGCGTTCCGACGCCCGTACTGGTGTTATATTATTGGAAGTGGTAGTGGAGCGCCACGATAAATGTCTAATGAAAGCGTTCGAAAGTTTTCTTCTCTGCTGTTAAGCCTTCAGTCAATGTTTTTTTTTTTATATTATTAGAGGTACAACGACACAGAAATTTTAAATTATGTTGTATGATCATTTAGTAATTCTTTTAAAATCGTTATATTTTTTAACGACTGCTGTAAATATTGGAATCTATCCCAACACGTAACGCAACTTCGGTGACAATTATGTGTTAATAATCTTGTGCAGTTGTAGCAACTGCAATTCGCCCAGCTTTTAAAACGCATTCCATGATACTAAAAACATGATAACATGTACAAATCGCAAATATTTCGCATAGGGCGAAAACTGTTTTCGGCTATTGGGCATAGCCGAATTATTAGCCTATAACTCATGTGAAACTAATGTGTCATATATATATATATATGTGTGTGTGTGTGTGTATATACAAATATATATATGTATATTTAACGTACATAGTAAATATGGCTATGTCAGTATCGGTGTTTGTTCACAGTATCTCCCAAGAATTTACTCTGCTCTACTTTCCCAATACTATAGTTGACGATAATCTGTGGAAGGGGTAGGAGAGTGTTTTGTGCCTGTTGAAGGCGATATGCTGTATTTCAACAAGTTATTGATGGTCACAAGTTGTTCTACTTAACCCATTCGTCCGGGATTTATGTTCTGTCCCCTGTAGTTTTGGGTGAATTTTGTTACATACAGATGGTTCCACATGTGCTCAGCCGGCAAGGAGTCTATCAGTAGGCCCTAGTTACCGACCCTGATTTTCCCATTCATTGAATTAGCGGGAAAATTAATACCATTGCTATCGATACTGTTATTATTGTTATTGATGTTATGATTATTAAATTGTCATTAAAATATTTTAGACAATGAAATGATACAAAAAAAAAAACTTTCCTAAAGTGAAGGAAAACGGTAAACAGGTGAAATAGGTAGTTCTTGTTAAATGGCTATTTGGTGATTAAGAACTTGTGGAGCCATCTGTGCGTAAATACATTAAATAAACGTGTATCAAAGTGGGTATGGCATCTATTCTTGCCACGTGGGGCGAATGGGTTAATTGACTATCAGTATTTGGTTCTGAGATGTGTGCAGTCATTTCATTATTAAGGACATCCGAATGTCATCTTGTCCAGCAGAGCTTTCTCTCCTCCTCTGACAATATTATTTAATTCATATTCAGCGACATACCTTGAGTAAAATTCCACTTGTAGAGGATTGATTAGATAGTTACGGTGAGCGGATTGCACAGGTAATAGTTTCTTGGCATTCCCCATGGAATCCTTTAATGTGTCTTTGAAATACGAGTCGCTTTACTAGAAGCATCACCTTATGTTACTAGTCTCTCTTGGTATTACCTTTTAACTTATTTTTAAAGATTAAAAGTTTTATTTCAGGGGTTATTTATGGTTTAATTAAATGCCATTTGATCTTTACGTTCCGTGTTTTCTCCCACCAAAATAGTACAGAAATGACCATGGAGAAACCATAACTTTTGATGAAATGAGACAGGTTTGCTATTTAACATTAACGATTTCAGTTAAGAAGTTATTTACATTTCCAACATAAAAATATTGTATATGGGTGATGCTAAGAATTTCTTATGAATTACTGTAATCAAAGCAAAAAAAAATACTGGGAAGGTGTCAGAAATAGAGGCGTAAACGATGCCACTCATCCGATGGTTCATATCTGTTCTAAAAGTGTGACTATGTTCATGGTCTCTTGTAGGGTGTCAGGCCGCGCAGTAAAAGAACTGGCTGGGAAGGAGGGAGATTAAGTTCAAAAGATCTTGAGTAAAGTCACCAAGAACGTATGTAATAACCTTCTCTTGATTACATTTAGTATTTCTGATAATAAACAGTTTAGAAAACCAATATATATACAGGACTATATACATATTCTGCTCTAGCATTTTGGTTCCTGGAAATAGAGTCTGAATGCGTGGGAATATCATTGAGATGTCTGGTCTGCACTAGGAAGAATGTGTTGTTGAAACATAAACACTGGCACCTCCTCTATTTCGCTAAATTTGGTTTGAGGAGTATATATATATATATATATATATATATATATATATATATATATATATATATATATATATTTATATATATTACATATATTATATGTGTGTGTGTTTATTATATATTTATATCTATTTATTTATACATTTATATTATTTATTTATTTATACATGTATATATATATATGTATATATTTATTTATCTATATGCATGCATATTTATTTATATAGGTATAGTTATATGATTATATGTATTCAGATATATACTATGTATATATATATACACACATTCTGGAAATCCGCAAACATTACCTTATTGACCCATGAAACTTCCTTACCTGGGGGCCTCGCCCCGAAGCCCCGCCCTATCACTAGATTTTGAATACGCCGTTAATCACTTTATTTGTTAACATGGCAGAAAATTTTCAATGAATGAATAAAATTCTCAGTTGTAACAGTTCAATTCACATGGATTGAAAATTTAAATTTTTACTCTATTGATATGTCTTCCAAATTAAAATATATAAAGGAGATTATAACCAGTACACCACTTAAACCCTACAATAGGGATAGCGTGACCATGTCATGGAAATATTTAACCTTAAAGGCGGGTGACGCGAACTTGATGTCGTGAGCGTTTCGACTGAAGGTTGGAAATTTCACCAGTGCACAAACCTGCTGGAGGTGAATAAACTCGTTCGGTGCTTAGAAAGGGTCTTTTGCCTTATTTCCATCGACGAGTGGAATGTCCGTGAGCCATGACTGGAAGAGCGCTGGCTCCAGGGAGAGCGCCATTGCCATGCTCAGCATCCTCTTCCTGGCCGCCGTGACCGACGACGCAGGTTGTATTAAAGAAAATTTGATGTTACATAAATAAGTTACAAAAATAACAGTGTGTCCTTCTGTTATTATTTTTGCCCTGTGTTGTGGACAACTTCGACAGACATGGTCTAGTACCATCTTGATAAAGGAAATTAGAGGACAGATATGGACATTGGAAAATGGCCAAAAAGCTCAAAACGCTTTTGTATATATAAAAAAACAATAGTATTGCACAAGCTATTCTCCCTAGAGTGGCCGCTCACAAAAGCCTAAGGCCCATATTGTGAGCCATGTGATTGCTGTCAAGCAACGGGAATCAAGGGTTTAAATGTCGAATTTATATCGATCTCGACATTATAAGATTAGGAATTTAGAGTATACTGTATGTAGATTCAACTATTTAGGTTTTTAAGTAAAACTTGTGGACCATATCTGAAAGATAGTTTTCACAAACGTACCGTTTTAGAGCGACGTTTATGTTGTTTTCCAAATTGAATCGCGGAGCTGTCCGGGACGCATTGCAAAGGGTAGCTTTAGGTTTGAATCATTTGTGTACTTCCGTGTTATTTTTTAAAAGATAAAGTTAAATTTCTTCCTTTTCAGGTAACAAGACCTGCACTGCACCAGTTTATATTGATGACAAAGAAGATGAAGATGCTGTTGTTGGGCCTTGTTCAGAATGTGGATTTAGTGATTTTGAACCAGGCACAAGAGCCAGATATTATGAAGTCCTGAATTTTAGTCGAGAGGAGATTAAAACAATGGAAAACAATAACTGCTTTTGTATCCTTTTATTCATCGAAACACGCAAAAATGTTAGGGGCAATTTTTTTCCTTCTTTTCTTTGTGTGTATGATTTTTTTCGAGATAGCCTTACTCGCGCCACCTATCATACAGGCCCTTTCACTTTAAACTAGCTTTGCATACTG